TATATATATTTAATTTTTAAAGCAGACAATGAGAGTTGATGTGTGTTATCATGTAAAAGCTGGTTACGTTCTGACATCTGACATAAATGCTAACACCTCCAGGGGTGGAACCAGGAAGAGACGTACATTATAAGGTCAATTCATCATTATAAGAGTAGAAGTTCAGAAGCTATTAGTTTTGTAGTCTCCAGAGCGGCCTGGGACAGTCTGGGCTGCTGTGCTTTGTTTGAGCTTTCCTGATACTGGCTCAAAGCCTGACTGCTGTGCTGTAGCTACTGTGCAGACCTGATTGGATTCAGATGAGTGTAAAGATTTTTAGAAGAAATCCATGTGGGTTCTCGCTATTATTCAGACTTTCATTTTTGAACTAAACGCTTTTCTACAGTAGCATACAGTAAGGCTAGCTACAAGTTCAAAACAAAACGTCAGCAAGAAGTTGAAATTAGATTAGCTAAAAGCTAACATGAGCCAAATACTAACTGAAAAATAGGTAAAGGTTAAGCTTATAGCAATGGTGTTAAACTCAGGATTGCTATCCTGCATGCTTTCTTTGTTTCTCTGTTGATTCTGATTTAATTACCTCTTTAATTCTGTAGAAGCATGTTATTCACCCATTCATTTGAGCAGGGAAACAAAACAAGAAACATACTAAAATGGTAGTATATAAGTAGCACAGAAAGACAAAATAAAGAAAGAGTACAAACAGATAACTCAATGCAGCTATTTATTCGGGGAAATACTTTCTACATAAATTAAAGTATTTTGAGAAGTGCAAAACATTAGAAAAGCACAGCACCCATTCCCTGAATTAGGAGCGAGTTTTCATTTATGAACAGACAAAAAAAAAGCACAAAGTATGCAGAAATAACAGAAAAAAGAAAATGAATAAATAAATAAAATTAAAATTAAAGTGTCTAGAAACATGAAAAGAATGATGTGAATGCTGAGTCAGCACTGTAAACTGTAAACAGCGGTCTGGGGTTCAACAGTAGGAGTTTACTCACTGTAGGTGCTGAGGAGGCTCTCAAACTGGGCCACCAGGCCGACGAGGTGGAGCTGCCTCAGAAAGTCTTTGTCCTGCAGTCCTGAATACAACTTCATGACAAAGCCACAGATCAAGGCCGCCAGCTGTCCAATCACAAACCAGTTTTGTTATGACATTTGCCAAATCAATCATACAAAACCTGTTTCTGAACTTGTGAACATCCTGCTCATTCTACTGTCTGCAAACTAATTTAGCACATTCTTTATGGATGTTTTTGACACCAAAATAAAAAAAGAGTAAAATCTCAGATAATCCAAACTGAAAGGAGGTAACATTTTCTCCTGAGGAGTTTTAATCAGCATGTTTTATTAGATCACGTTTTCGGAGGGCCACCTACTGCCTGACTGAAGACTACATCTCTCCTCTGCTGGAGGAGGAAACCTTGAGGTGTGCTGCAGGCTGCCTCCTGCAGGAGCACAAAGGTCATGGCTCTCTTTGCCTTCTCCACAACCTCCAACACACACTCCTTTAATCTGGACACCAGAGGGCACAGCTGCTCCTTCCAGTCACCTGCAGAGACAGAAGGAAGGGGGCACGTCTGGGTGAGAAGATGCTGTTTGCCTGTGGTGAACAGGTTCTATAATAACATGTTGGAATGACACAAGAAGCAAGGTTAGGATTTTTGATGCTTGCAAAACAGTTGAAAATCAGTACCCAATACAAAATAAAAAAGAAGTGTGATGCAGTGGCACAATGAGGTGAAAGAACAAATTACTTTTTATCTTGTTAACAATAATAGTTCTATAAATCACATTCTCAGTGCCTGTAAAGATCTGAAAGTGAACACAGCTGTTGCAGATCTCAAAGTAAACAACTAAAACTAACTTGGATCAGAGTAAAGCCAGCAATTTTTTTGACTTCCTATATAAACTGTACAGCAATTTATAGATTAATGACATTAATGTAAGTTATTCCTTATACTGTAGGCACTAAATTAACTCCTGCTTTAGAGTGACTTGCAGATTTGCTTGTACCCAACTGTGTGAATAAGCCGATAAATAAAAAATAAGTGTCATTAAATGTAATGTGACTGAAACAAATATCTGAGACAGATACAAATACTTTAAATGTACTTTCTATGCAGAAAACACAGTTATGGTTTGCTAACAATGGGATTTTTTTAACTGCTTAGGGTTAAATCCAGGGTTTTCTTGATACAAAGCAGACCATCTACAAAAAAACAAACAAACAAAAAAACAAAAAACAAAAAAAAAAAACCCAGAAAAAACTTTGTTTTCCCTGCAAGATCATTTGCAGTTAAACCAAACTGTCAAACTCTGAACACCAAAACTGATTAATCTAAAAATAAACAAATAAATAAAGTATGAGTGCATTAGTTGAACATGCAACTTTAATGGAGGAGGATTAGGGCCACAGAGCAAATATTTTTTTTCCTCTGAGTTCTGCCCTTTTCTCACAGTAAACTTAAACTTTTTTCTTCAGAATTTGGACCAAGTCCAATCTCAGAATTCTGAAATTAAAGTCAGAATCAGAAAAAAGTAGTATGTTTTGTGGCCTAATGCTCTTTTGTTAATTTTAGCTGTTCCATGTATAAAAACGTTCAGTGCCACAATTTGATATTTTTTACAGACTGAAAATATAAAAAAAATAAAAACTAATGTAATCAGTCTTTTTTTTCAGTTTTGCATTTCATTATAAGACTTATAT